TTAAATTCGAAGCATTGTCAAAATATGTATAATATACTTATTTCAATCGGCAAGTATAATAGCTTAGAATTTTAATAAAAACACATTTCTAAAATATTTAATAAAAAAATGCTGTTATACTTTATGTAATTTCTCACATCTCTATACAAAAGGATGTAATAATAACCTCTATACATACATCACTTTAGCAGTAAGCAACCACGGCACTTTGTCTGTGCTGTTTGAAACAAAAACTTACAATATTACCATACGGACATTAATGCAAACATATTCAAATAGATAGCTGTTGAATAAATAGTTTCATACAAAATGATTATTATGTTAAATGATCAAAAATAATTTGTATTGTTCAAGTTGAAAATGTTTTGTTTAAACGTCTAGCTTTGGAGAGTATCTTTTAAAAGTAAATAGTTACCTACCTACGTTATGTATGTTTCGCTTATTTAAACAATAATACTAATACAAATAACGGCCAGCCGATAACCAGTTTTGCGAACCTATTGAGTTCATAGAGTTTAAAGCGTACCTTGTGGCTCGTATGGTTTTCGTTTCGGTGACATTGTTTTTACAGTTAAAACAATTAAAATGTACTCATTTAATTACACGTTTAATGCACATCTATACTAGTAGAGAACGCGGGCGCACGCTTATCTAAAATCCGGGTTCTAGAACCGAACGATAAATTAATTTAGTTCACAAACCGTTTTGTTGTGATGTGTATTGTGCACGGTGGTCAAAACATAATACCCGTATACCGAAACTACGAAGGACAAACAACATAGCCTCCTAGTTCTACTTAATATAGTCCCTTCGAGGCGTCGTAGCTTACAATTATCCGGGTCTGAAATAACATTTTCCAAACGACTCGTTTCTGATGTAATCGCAATATCGTTTATGTATTGTATACACGGCCGTGCACAGTGGACGAGTTGTAAAAACAACTATATATATATATATATATATTAGATTCTGTGCTACAATATTATACGGAATTACAAAGGGTGCGCGCCCGGGGTGTTTACGTTGGTCGACCCGAGTGAGACTTATAACGAAGCTACCAGAATCAGTATTGCTCGAGGCGGCGTTTTATTTGGAAAATTTTGCCGGTGGACTTATTTGCCGTTTTTATCAAGTACACGTGCGGTAGAAAAGCCGACCGGACAAAGGTGCCGAACACACAACAATAATCGCCATCAATTAAAACCGTCGACCGGCCGTTTATAAATCATTTCCCCCGCCGAGGCAAGTCCAGGCAAGTGCGTTTTATAACATTATCGCGGCTCAGACCTTTGTCTTCTCCGGTTAGGCCGACGATCGATAAATTATTATTATTATTATTATTATTATTATTTATACAGATCATTTTTCACAGCCAAGCGCTACAACGGTATCGGCCGAACAACACACGGCCGTGGTACCTGCGCTGCTGCTACAGTGTTATCTATGTTCAACTTCCGGTCTTGTTTTTTCTTTCTCTTCTTCCGTTATGACGGTATCATAAGCGGCCTTTGCGCCCACAGCTCCCGCCGAAACCCGCCAGCCCTCGCGGTCGCTTATGCCGGCCGCCCGTCCTGCCCCGGTCTCTGCCGGGGAAACGAGATAAATCTTATGGGGTGGCGCACAAATTTTTTTCCCGCCCACAGACGACTGCGGCTCGGAACGTTCTGTCAAGCCGGTTAATGCGCCATCAATCTTGCCGGAGGCCGCATTGTTGTTATGTTATTCCGCTGCCGTTCGTTTGCCGTCAAGACGTTTTTCTTATTCTCAACAGCCAACGCGCCGACCGACGCATATATAGAGAGCGAGGGTATCCTGTCCGGCAGACGTTTCTTTTACATAGCTTTGTTTACATAAATTATATTGCCCAGTTTACAACGGGGGCAACAGCAACGTTTTTTTGCGCCAACAACAATGTTATGCCCTCCCGAAAAAATAAACCGGCGCGCTGTATAGGCAATTTCACTACGTCGGTGAAACGGGTGTACAATACACGCGTATTGTAAGTCCAGAGAACTTCACACGTTTTCACTTGCAACTAACGCATTCGTGCGAAGTCGTTAATCCGAAATTACTGTACGTAAAATACAGTTTTTATGCGAATCGAACCCATATCGGGAATTAAAAATTTCATACAAATATAGTTGGTAATGTCCGTTAATTTATTGCCGCAATTGCCGCGGTAAAACGTATTAAGCTGCATGGAATCGTTTAACATCATATCAATAAATATTGCTGAATAGTTAAAAACATATTTTATGTGTAATACTCTTGTAAGACAACGTTTTTAAATTGCACATTTATTGCTCCTCAAATTGCAGTAATCGAATAATGTATGCTTTGATTTCCTACAGTTTCTTTGGTTTTATCACAGAAAAATTATATTGGTTCTTTGAGGCCTTATTTTCTAAAATTGATTATTTACAATCAACAGCATAATAATACAGTGTAGATGCTCATATTGTTATGGTAATATATGGGATGTAGGATGTGTGATCTCAATAAACAAAAAATCTTCTATATTATGTAATAATCAATGTTAATTAATGTTATTTATTATGAGAGTGTTGAAAATAATTATTGTTTAAAATTTTAAAAGTTCTGAAAAACTACATATTTATCTTATAAAACAAATAATAATAATAACAATGGTATATTACTATTTATTATATTATTATTGTTATTATTATTATGTTTATATGTTTAACCCAATCCAGCATAATTATACTGAAATGCGATCAAACTGATTATTATTACAGTTTAAAATATAATATATGTTGCAGACATAGTAGATGTTACATTGTACATAGCAAATTGTCGGTTCAATATTTTTTTTATCCTACATGACAATCAAATCTATGTTTTAAGTGGAAATTAATAGTACTGAATAATTTAATACAGCACGTCCACGCTAGTGAATTATTCCGGTAATGCACAAAAAAGTCGGTTGACCTAATATGTTGAAATTTAAAAAAAAAATTCAATTATGCTATTAAATTCTTTGTGTATCAATTTTAATGCTATAGCCGAATTGTTGTTTTGCATTTTAAAAAAAATCACTACACCAATTACTAATATATACTAATTTTAAAACTACAATAAAAATAAAATTAATATACCTTTAAACTTTATATGAAGTCACCGGGTTGATACTTTCCATCCAATTTCAAACAATAAATGATAACAACTTTTGAAAGTTTAATTAAGTGTCCGTGGTATAATACAATAGTATATTTTTATCTCTGCGTGCCATACAACGGTAACGGTCTGCTACTCTAATTTCATTTTAAACCGCTAAAGGCCATTTTGCAGTTAACAAACTAATTAAAATGTAGTAGCTAGTAATTATCATTTTTCAATAAAAGTACCAAGGTCTTCTTCTAATCATCAAATATGTAATAGATTACTGTTTGAAAATTATTTTCTAAATGTAAAAAAGAAATAGCGATTACTGAATCAATAATTATTCTTGTATAATATACTGTAAATTAGTAACTTGTATTCAGTAACGTATTTAGGGCGGGGGCCTAAGCCCTAAGTGTAATTACAATTGAAATGTATTGCATTATGTTAAGTATGAAATCAGTGAATGTAGACAAACAAACTGAGATAATTCACTTTTTCGTTGATATATAACCATAAATAAATCATTTAGTTCTTTAGTCACTCTTATATTACAGATTCCAAAATAGAAGAGTAATTTTATCTAACGACTAAAAATTGTTTAATGAAAATTTTTGATTAGATAGTCAATTTTCCACCAGGGATTACAAAAGGTGAATACATTAAAAACAAATATGTTTGAAAGCGCCAAAAAAGATAACGATAACGGGTGGTCGCCGGAAAGTAAGATCCGACGCACGCGGTAGGTGGAAAAAGTCAAATAATATTTTTTTTTTGGGGGGGGGGGGGTGGAAAAGCATTAGCACCCGGGCGCCAAATTTCTGAATACGTCTCTGCTTGTATTGTTGATGGGCCATGTGAGATGATTCAGAATAAAATGTTAACCGTATAAAATAAAGAACACTTGTAACGATCATCAATGATCTAAAGTAATTATAAATATAAATAATTAGGTAAATCATTTATTGAGTTATAACCAAATCACTGTTTGTTATAATTTCGTTCCAGGTGCAGAAATTAATGTAGTAATTATAATTAGATTTGAAAATAACATATATTTTGAGTTGTGTATTAATTTTGATGTCTATTATTTAGGGCCTGTGTATAGGACTCCGGAGACCCTGTATAATTAGTTTCGGAGCAGTTCCAACGAGAGCCACAACAATAATATTATAGGAGCTTGTGGGAAATATGGGCTCGATCGAAACGTACAATATAAAATTAGGTCATTAAACTATTACGATAAATTCCATAATGTTTAACTTATTAAAAGGTGGACGTAAATAGACTACATTATTAAAACTAAAAGGATAATATTTTAGTGTAAGAGCACGCAGAGACGTCTTTAAACAAAAGCTTAGTTACATAATATATAACATGCACTCTAAACCCATTTGAATACTCGATGAATTAAAATCAGCATAATTGATTAATAATTATTGAGAACTAAAACACATGTGTACATACTCAACACAAAAGCGAAGTAGTTTCATTAACACCAGTGCTTTCACCGGTCGTTTTAAAGGTTAATAGACTGTAAAACTCACCGGCCACAAAATGTAATTAATTACCAAATAAATCAATATTTTTTTTTTCTGTTTTATAAACTTACTTTTTAAAATATAGAAAATCATATTTTTGAACGGTTACAAAAGCCATCAACTTTGAAGTCGCTGTGAAAAAGCAATATTGACATTGGGAACGTATATGTTCTGTGTATATTTTGTAGACAATCAAATAAATAATACATCATGAATAATATAATATGTTTATAATTTTGAAGAATAAAACACTCAATCATAATGTATATAGAATATATTTATACATAAAATATATAGATTAAAAATAAACAAACATAAGAGACGAATACAATAAAATAACTCTTTTTATACATGTATAAATCGTATTCTATGTACTATTTAGAAGTTATTTTATAATAACAACTATGTATATTTTTTCAGTGGATAATATAAATCTTAGTCACTCTAATTCTATTAGTTTATACTTCTATTTATTCTAAATTGTTATTTTTATCCGAAGATAAAAGTTAAAAGTCTTACATATAGTTATGAACTATATTAATTAAATAAATTACTTATTTATACACTCTGTTGTGGATGTAACAGAGTGTATAATTGCCTACTTTAATTGTGGTCCAGCAACCGCTTTTCATCTTTTAAAAATGAACTGTAGATGAGTCATCAATACAGAATTAAATTATAATTAAAATACAAAAACAAAATAACAAACAATCTACTGTATAAAATATAGATATGAATAAAATTATACTAACAATTATTTCAATAATGTATTTATATTATAATATAGATTTAAAAGGTAAAATATATATGTAATTGGTCGTTCTTCTATTCAATTATATTTTATAATTATCATTATTTCGGTAAATATTAAATATTCATTATAATTGTGCTCAATATTTTGGCACTTGACAATACTATTTAAGATAGCAAAAACATTGGCATATGTCATTCTGATAAGACCAGTAGTGACAGTAGTGAATTCTATTAAAATTAAACAGAGAGGTGAAAACGTTAAAGCGTTTTTAAAAATTAAATATTATTCTGGTAAATTGTTATAGTGAAAAAAATCGTTGGTTATATCTCTGCGTTTACAATTCTTGCACGCTTTTAGATAAACAACATGGTATTCATAGTTAAAATATCTTAAGTTAAAAAAACGCCTATTACTTCTGCATAAGTAAATTGTATACATATATTGTATATATCTACGTGCTACTCTTTTATTATAAATTTTAACCTAACTTTAAATAAAAACTATTTTGCTATCATATATTATTATATTCTATACTTACAGAATAATGTAAAAGCAATACCTTATAACCTACATACGTTTGTAACCTGTTAATTTTTTTTTTTTACAACTACTACCTAATGAGACATACAACAATATATTATTATAATACTAAAATGTATATTAAAGAACGTTCGTACGAGAAGTTATAAAAATACAATATCCGATTCGGCCGTTCCCGGCGATCAAACAGAATCAATAATAATTATTATTATTTCATTGGTGCTTCAGAAAATTCGGCTTATTCGAAAACAAAATAATAATTATAATAACTCATAGCTGATGCGAAATCGCAATTACAATGTTGGGCTACGGTAAGGGCGATTTTTGGCGTGCTCCGTTCACTTTGGCGGTAGGTACACATTATGTAATGTTAAAGTGTAATGAAAAAATTTTTAAAAACGATCACACCGACCGGGTTAGGGTAATAACCGTTGGATTGCAGTGGACAAGGGATGTTTGTGGACCAACCCGAAGTGGCCTAACCGAGGGAGATGATAATAATATACACACGCCATGACAACAGACAATGTCGAACGGCTTCATCTGAATCCGAGTGGGATCGCCGTGGCAATAAAAACGACAAAAGCAAAGGGATCGAACGACTGTCTTAGGCATTCGGCCTCGTTAAGACGGTATACAAACGATAAAAACCATTTAGATGCGATCCGAATCGTTTTGGCTAGTGTGGCGTTAACGACAGCGCGACCTCTTTGTGTGTACTTCCATGGAGATATTTATGATCCATAATAACATAGAATGATACACAGACACGTGTCCTGAGAATACGACCGAGGTCAAACACCAATACTTGTCGGGTATAACACAAGCATAGGCCGTGTGGGCCGAGCGATGAAGTCGCCGCGTTATAACCCTATGGGTTTCCGGTTCGAGTGTGTTCAAAACGATCCTGTCGGACACTTGAACAAAACCCTCCTCCCGCTCTACATTCACTCCCATAGTCCATACTCTTGCTCTCTAGTTTAAAACGACTCCCGTGTTGTGATCTAAAACCGTATGGGCTATACCCCGTCCATTTTAATACAACCACTAACGATAATTTATCCCAAGGCGGCGGTAACTTGTTAAACAGAAGGGAAAAAACCGGAATTTTCGATAGTATTTGCTGCCCACAGGAGAAATTAAATAAATATATTTATAGTTTTTTTTTTATCTTTATCTGTATCGTATAGGATTCTGCGGCGTATCGGCGGTCTTTTATTTGGCAAGGACAACACAACACACTATGCGTAAGCACCTTTTGGCCGTTAAAACTACAAATCAAACGTCAGAAATGTTCAAATTAAATAAAAACGCCGAGTGTTAATTTTGATGATCGTGTTGGTTTTGTGGGGATATCGACTGCGGTAAAATGCTAATGTCAGCGAAAAAAGATGTCGAGATAAGACAATCCGTGTACAAATTATACTTGGGAATCAAACGCGCTGTTGGAAATTTAAACCTAATACGACTGTTATGGTTATTATCCTGAACAGCTGTGAACGGACTTATTATGGTTAACCCTTTGAATCAAAGGCAATGTGAAATCGTACAATAGAGAATCCAAACTTGGAATAGTATACAATGTCCCAAACGATAACACGTACGGTTTTGACCGTCCTAAATCAAAATTGATGATACAATTCACACGAACTAACGGCAAAAGTTACACGGTACAAATTTCGACCATAACTAAATCGATTAAATTTCAGCGTTGTGGTCAGATAATAATAATAATAATAATTGTACTAAGCGAAAGTAAAACTAAGCACATCCACTGTGACTACAATACAACGTGGAAAATTGAAAAAGAAAAAAAAAAAATGATCGTTAGACGTTGCTGATCCTGAGCATGCTGGACGACGGTCGCCGTTCTGCCGTTACCTGAGCGATGACGTTGTTGAACGACGGTCGCCTGTCCTTCAACGTTATGGACGTCGGGCACAGATGGTCCATGCCGCACGACGTCCGGCGGCTGCCGCCGAGGGACGTCGACGGCATCATCAGGAACTCGCGTTTGGCCTGGGCCCACGCGGACGAGGGCGCGTCGCACAAACACGGCGCCGGTTGGCTCTGGAACGCGGACGACGACAGCGGGGGCGGCACGAAACGCTTGTCCGACGCGGACGGGAACAGGCTGCACGACCGACGCTCCTTGACGGCCGACACCATCAGCGAGCCGGACGCCGCGCAAGACACCCGCCGCTCCGACACCGTCATGGGCAACATGGACCGGCTGGTCCGGGCCGGGCCGCACTCGTGTTGCATCAGCGACTTGATGTCGGCGGCCGACTTGGCTTTCCTGGGCCGGTCCGACATCAGCGTGCAGTGGCCAATCGGTGCGCCGCAAGAGCCCGGCAGGGCCCCGCCGCCAGCAAACATCGAATTCTGCCTAGGCCGGATCTGCAGCGCCCGGTGCGTCGGCTGAATGGTCTGAAATATCGCCGACGGTTCGATGCAGCTGTTCACGTTGAATTTCGAGAACGAAGTTCGATGCTGAAAAGTGAAATATATTTATTCATTATGGCCCCTGGATACCGACCGTTTTATTCAGCCAAAATACATCATTTTTTGTCCATCGCACAGGCCAAACAAAGTTTACTTGAGATCGGTCAGAGCACTTTTTTCAATTTGTAATTTTAATCTCTTTTCCAAATTAGATTTTAAAATTCAAATTTTTATAAAATACTCAAACGTGTTTTATGCGCAGTAGGAATAAGATACCGAAAAAATACGCTGGCCGATCTCAAGTAAACTTCATGGTGAATTCAAATCTGTTTTCAGATTACTTATCTGATCACTGATCGGTTCAGCCTGTGCGATGGACAAAAAATGTACTATTATTTTAACTAAAATGACTTCTACACTCATAGAGAAAATTATTTAAATTAAAAATAATATCATGAAGCTTATATAAATTAATTAACATGGTCGAAATTTATTAAAACCACTTTTTTCTTAAATATTGCCTATACAAAACTCTTTAAAAATGGTCGGTATCCAGGGGCCTTAATACAATTACGAACGTTTACACGCAACCGTTGATTCGGCATTTATCGCGTGCATATTTTTTTTACAGCACATTAACACAATGGTTATGTATTGAACGCTTCAATCGAAAAAATGTTCACAACAAGATTGAAAAATGCTTGTAAAACCAATATTACCGAAGCGCGTTATCCGAAATTAATGTGAATGAACGATTACGTGTAAACGGGGAAAAGGTTATTAAAGTATAGAAAATTGTGTAGTAAACTATCAAGAAATGCAAGACAATAAATGAACCAAATACTTTATAAACGTGCTAAAGGTACAATTCAAAAAGCCCATAAACGACCCATCAAAAACACATAATTGTTAACCGTCAACAATGTTTGGCTTGTATATTTTTGAAAAATGATCATAATTCAAATTTTTTATTTTTTATGATAAATACAAATACGATATTACTTATAGGTATAACTCAATTTATTATATGATAGTCTTAGCTAAAGTTTTTACTACGTACATTAGAAATTTGAAAAACATTATTAATTTGCTGTTAAAAAAAAAGGCCATGTAACTATATTGGTTTGACAATTCTGCTTTTGCAATTATAATACTCGAGTATTATTAATTTAATTACTCGGCAGTTAGGGTTAGACTAATTTGTATATGATCTTCTCCAGTAGCTTTTCGGCTATACGTCATATGTTTTTGTGCTCGGGTCCATTGAGATACATATACTATTATTGGGTACACCGTTAAGTATCATTAGTCCATTCATGCACCGTGGCCTAAACACGTTGTTATTACAAACAGACCGGGTCCACTTTCATTTACTAACCAAGCGGTAATAGGTATCGGTGTTTGATAACGTACATGGACTTTATACTTAGATACTCTTTACTTCTAACCGGCATTACTTTACCTAATTTTAACGACCAGACCGCCGTATTGTTGCGCACAATAATATCATATTTCTCGTGTGACTCGAGGCGAAGCACAAGACATTGTGAGGTCCTTCAGAAGTAGCGTTTCTCCTAGTCGAAGTAACGATTTTTTTGGAAAGTTATGTGTGAGTTCGCCAAGGCGGTTTTAATGCGAAAATAATGAAACGAGTGCTATTCAACGAAGATCGTTTTATGCGTGACAAGGTGGTATTGTGTGGCGGCGATACACATGCGATGCGTTACGCGGTTGGAATATAATACGATATTATTATCTGTCCCGGAGATGAGAAAACGCTGGAAAAGGTATTGAATCGAACATTATATTGTGCTGCAAAAAGCGGGTTTTTTTTGTCGCCCCCTCTAAAAGTTTCGATCGCATGTATAAAGATTGGCAAAACGTGTGTCGACCGCGCGAATGTACTCATACGGTACATTAAACTGCTCAGGACGGGGAATACATTTCTGTATTGTATGTTTAAAGATGAAAGAGGTGTTTTCATACGGTTCAAGAAGACAACGTCGGATGTCTTCCTAGCCCTCCGTTCCCGTAAAGGCGCCCAGAATACATACACATTTTGATGAGTTCGGCGTACATATATTTATTTATATTGTACACACAAAAGAACGGTAGCGCTATTCTACGCAGGATACTGTAGCGTTTATCATAAGGACAATGATCTATGTACCACCTTTGTGTACTCTGACCGGGTTTTCGGCACATAATATACTGTATAAAAGTAACCGAATTCGGAGAATCAATAGCGTGGATGTAATAAGGCAGAATCGCTTGATATGTGACGGTTTAGAAAGGTTGAGAGAGGATGGAAAAGAAATGAAAAAAAAAAAGAATGAAACTCTAAGAGAAAAATACGGATAGTGTCGTGGGTCTTTTAAGCCTTGCTGCACACCAAATATTATATGGTTACATATGGTTAATTTATACAAAAACGTTTAACGTTCATTATATTATGGGTAAACAATTAAAAAAAATAAAATAAAGAATAGTATACAAATCCAATATAAATATTATGTTGTCCTTATTATTAAAATAATATTATATTGAGTAATTTTTTTATTGAAAAAATGTTATCCTTATTACGTGTTGCTAATGGCTAGTTAAAAAAATAAAATATTTTTTTAATTAACGATAAAATTATTGTGAAAAATTAATTTTACAAAAAACAAGATGGTTTTACAATATTTTAATATTCAATTCATAATATAATCAACCGTTAACTATACTTTGCAATTGTCTATGGGAAACATAACGATACGATTATTTTTAATTACACACTCCAGGATAAGCTACGTCGTCAGTTAAAACTGAAGAAAATAAAAGTATGAAAAATACTTATACAGCGTAGCTATGCATTAATTAAGACACTTCAGGCGAGCATCGACGCTGTATGCATTTTAATTAGTAAGTTAATAAATATTATCACACTTATGTTTTATTATGTAAAAATAAATATTCAAATATAATCTATGTATAAATACATAGTAAATAGATAGGAAAGACTATATAATATAAATATACAGTCTATACAATGTAACCTAATTATAATAACACAATGTTCCCATTGTAACATCATACTATTACTAGATTATACTCGAAATCACCCGAATTGGACATTTATTTTATTTAAAAACACACGCCTTGTTTTCCTAGTGTATTTTAAAATACTTTTGCATTTAAAAAATGGATCAAGATTCATCAATTAAAGTGCTTATAAATTATAAAATCACTTCTCGTTCATTTACGCGAGGTGTACCCTAATATGGCAAAGCCAAAGATGTCGTTATGCACATTATTTAAGTAGCTGTGTACAGGAGTGTAAGATTGACCAATGGCTATGGAAAATATATGGTTTAATGTTGCATAATCTAACCGGCGTACGGGCCAAATAAGCGCTAAAAGTTTAGACTATTTTTTTTGGGGGGGGGGGGTGGGGTGGGTAGTTGACGTTCGGGTGTGGAATTCGATTACAAAGAATTCACGGCGGAACCACGTGCAAGCTATATTGCATGGAAATACTGTTACATAGTGTTTACCCCACTAGGAAATCGAATTATTCAACGCCGGTTTGGGGCCTAGAAGCAAAATGCGAGGATATATATAATACAGGACTGGCAAAACACAAAAAAAAAAAAAAAAAATATGTTTGTCTGATATTCGCTCCAGTGAATTTTGCGCCGTCATATATTGTCGACAAACATACACAGTGCACTACGTCGCAGTTAGACGATGATTTTCTACAACACAAATGTGTGCGTACATCTAATTCAGTCCCAACAACCGTTTGAATACAATGTTTATTTGCTGTGTATGTTTTTGCTTCTATATTGGTTTTGTTAACGAGACATAATATTTATTTATTTTCATTCTAGGTAAGTCCCTTTTAAACGTTACCGTCATTATATTGGGTTCATATATTTTACAAAACGCACTGCGGTAAATGTGCACCGTGCACCGGCGGCGTCGCACCCGCGTGAAAATTAATGTTATCATTACACGACGCGTTATTGCGGTTTAAATTGCACAATTTACGTGCGAGCCGTGCAATTCCGTACATAATTTATTACAGTTAACGTGGATGGCGACAAAAATTTAATTCTGAAATGGTAACAATATTACATATAGCGCTGATGTATACAAACGCATTATTATAACGCGCATTGATTGATTGCGAATTAAACATCAAATTCGATCCCTCCAACTGAATTAATAAGTCTCGGCGGTAAACGTGGTATATAGAGCAAAGTAGTAAAATTAATGCGAATCAAGTTAATCCGGAAATTAGGTGCGTACAAACCCGTTTTTAATGCGAATTAAATCCTGTCGCGGAATTAAATGGTGCATAATATTATGCACAACCGAATTACAACGTTCTTCGTTAATTTTTTGCGATTTAAACAAAACCGTACTCGAACATATTATACTGCGGGCCGGTTGTGAGTTTAGCGGCGAAGCCAAAACGTCAATCAGAATTGCATTGGGTTCTTATGGGTGATAGCTATGCTACATCTGTGGGGGAATCGGGGCAGGAAGTATGAAGATGATTTCGATGTTTTTCTCTCATTTCGGGTGACGCTGTCCATTTTGTTTACCGAAAAATGTGTGAAATCAGTTCCGGCCGCAATGAATAATTTGTAACAACGGTTTATTTATGGCTAGGTTCTCGTTGACTAAATGCTCAACGACTATAACGCCCCATTCTCCTGTAGTTTATTCTGTGCCTGTACAGAATAATCCGTCGAATTCGTTATGTATGCACGTATAGTTATTAGCGAGACACGAAGGGCGCCGTTTAGTCAACGTCGGCGGCGTACGTTTGTGTCGTTTGGTGCAATTGCGGAGTTTGTAATTTGAAAAAAATAGCCTCGTCGAGATTAATGTGTGTGTGTGTGTGTACAGTGTAGTACACGTCGATACTGTAACTGTTTTCTCGGCGAGACGGAAAAACAGACTTGGGGCCGGGGAGGATGCAGGGGATAAAAGTAAAACCATCGGCAAATGAACCGAACAACTGCGGTGCGGTGTGACGTCTACCACCGACTGAAAAA